ACTAAAATTTTGTAGCTGCTTGTCATGTAATATGTAAAATGCAGTAGATAACTGAAACAGGGACTGAAGCTAACCATAGGGTTTAAGCAAAGGTGTCATGTGGCCAATTTTTTTTTTAAGACTACTAAGAATGGAACTAGATCTGGAGATCAACAATGGAGGCAAAAAAGTTTAAGAAAGAAACCATTAAGTTGGAATTAGTGCCAAAAGGAATAGAGAAGAAGAGACATCTGAAATGCAATATTGGATGCTAGAATCAGTGGAACTTTGGCACCAATTAGATAAATTCAATAAAGAAAAGAGAAGATTTTAGGATGAATGCTAGGCTTCTTGTAAAAATAATTAGATACAATCAACCGAGATTTAAAATAGTTCAAGAGAAATGTTAGGTATCTTTTTAAGATTTGTCTTTATTTCTGTTGAGGACAGAAATGGTCATTTCAGAAAACAGTACTTTAATACTGAAGGGCAAAGGCCATTTTTACAGGGATAATAAATAGAAATCAGAATTTAAAGATCTCTTTGAAAAGATAAAAGCTACCTAAATGATTAATCACTAGAACACACTGAATAAGTAAGAACCCAGTTTTCTAAGATTAAAGATAAAGCCCTAGATTTACTGTGAAATGGCCTTCCCAGATTAAAATCAGTGGTTTTGAATTAGGTCTTCTCCACCCTTTTTCATTTGTGGCTTCTACTATTTTGTTATAGTTTATTTCTCACCTTGTAATGTGAAACTCCTTAGATGGAGAAACAATAAAAATTTCTATAAAGATTTGAAAAACTAATATATGAACATGTTCCTTCTATCAGTGTATAATTATGCACTTATTTAATTCAAAGTCATAAATCCAAGCCATCCTATTCACTATGGAAATCCTTTATGTATATATGCATCAGTAGATTTACACAAGAATATGTACATACAATTTCAGTTAAAAATAAAACACATATTTTGTGAAAACTGATTAATATAGTCAAATAGTGAGGGGCCAAAATAGTGAGATAATGAGGACACCAAAAGCACATTCTCCCAGAGAAATAAAAATAAGTGCTCAAAATAAGAGTAGAGTTTACAGGGACATGAGAAAAGACATAGTTACACAGTTATATTTTAACTAAAGTAGTTAAAAACTAAACTATATTAGACACCCATTCCTATTCATCTCTATAAAATAGATTTGTTCATGTATTAGTAGTTGATGAACCAGGTATAGAAGCTGGAATGCAAGAATACTTAACCTTGTTCACTACAAATTCTTCTATCACTGCTGACAGACATTATAAAAGAATATAAATCATCCAGAAAAAGAAATGTATGTCCACAGCCTTATCATAATACAGGTGGATGAAAAGTCTGAGAACTTGCCTCTTTCTCAGTGTCTCTAGAGATACACGTCCACTGGTTCTCCTTCACACTGTATGCCCAGAAGTCAGCAAGATCTTGTGTTCCATCCCAGCCACCAAACAAATAAACGGTCTCTATGAAAATTAGAAAAATGTGTAAAAAATAAACTTAAGGACAAAATTTAATAGATAAGCAGATTTAGCCAGTTGCTTGTAAGATCATTTAAGAAGGTATATCCATCTAAGTAAACTTAAAAATGAGATTTTCAAACTAGTAACATTCCAAGATAAATACTATTTCCTAAACATGAGCATATGGAAAGGCTGCTGCTGGAGAAACACTATTTTGAGAGATTTATAAAAATAAAGATAAGTAGGAGGCATCCCCTATGATTCTGATTCCATAGGTCTTCAGTGGGTAAAAAGAGTTAGTACTTTTTAAACTGTCCACAGGGAATCCTGATGTGCAGCCAATTTAGTAGCTTTTATGTTACATCACAAAAAGTTTACATTTGCAGTTTCTTATCAATGCAACCTCAGATTGTTAAAAAAAAGAAAAGGGAATCCCAGAGAAATATAGAGTGCAAAATAAAACATAAAGATGCCTAGCTATTTCTGAAAAAAAAAAAAACTTAAACATTAAAACTGTTTTCTATTACAATACCAAAAACAATGGTTAAAACTAGCTGTGAGTTAAAGTCAGATATCTTAAGAATAAAATGATGCGTAGCCTTGGTATTCCCATGGAAACTGGGGAAAATTTTTCCTAACATATTGTGGTAGGTTTAACTCCTAAGAAATCAACCTTTAAGTCATTCTAGGTATGAAAGAATTTAGTTTCTTCTAACTCTTGGAATGTCTATTTTATCTATCGACTTTATCACCATGACAAAACTTACTTTTTGCTCAGTAAGTAGTAAAAATCTTTATATATAACACTGGGTATCATCCACCTTTCTTTATAGAACAGCACAGCCTTTCCTTCCTTCAAATATTTTCCCCTTTTGTAAATATCTTATGTCTACTGGTTGCACAAGTCTACCATTTTTTTTTTTTGTTAAACAAGACATTACAGGAAAACTGTTAAGCCATCTACTCACTAACTGAAATACCCTCGGCTACATATGTGGAGACTGTCATCTAAGTTATATCCTACTACATAGGGTTAAAATTAAAAGTGCACCTGGAAATACTGTAACACAATTTAAGAAAATTCTTGCCATTCATAGAGCTGTCCTATATGAGATTTTTGTTACATTTTCATATAATTTCAAACTCTAAGTGAATTTTCTAAGTAAAAGAACCTAAGGGAAATCAAAATAATGCTTCTGGGTAAGAACAGACTGGGTAATCATGTATAGGTTACTTAACTTCCCTGGGTTTTAGTTTTTTCATTTACAAAACTCACAGTGTTGTGGTCAAGTTCTTCAGATACAAGTTACATAAAAACATTCTGAAGACTATCAAGCATGAACAGCATTTCTACTTTTAAAATATATACACACATACACAACTTTGCAGTTACTAAGTACCACAGATTCAGTAAAAACAGTATTACTGTATCTGTTTCCATGTCTAACTCAGCACCTAGGAAACTTTTGGCTCTGTACAAATAAGAAATAATGAAAATTATTTTAAACTATTAAAAACTGCCATATCTCAGATGTATAAAATAATCCATTATCATTAGTTAAGTAACATTCTGTTTCCCAAATGGCACATAGTAATTAATGCCCAGATACTTAGAATTTTATATGAAAAAAATTAAAGAATTTTCACCTGGCTTAAAAATTATCTGCAAAGGTTTCACCATAAAGGCAATTAACACTGTTAAATTCTGAAGCCTGGAGACGGAGTGGGTATATAACTAAAATAGCAACTGACCTTTTGTTTTACAGTGTTTCTGGGCACCCTCTGGATAAGGTTACCCTGGTTCATTAACTTTAATAACCCTTCCTCTTGGGCTCTGGGTTCTCAATGTTCTTTCTGAAAAGCAGGTCTCTTTGTACACATAAATTCTCATAGCAAAGAAAACCCACATTTCCACAACAGCCTCATTGATAGCTGAGCAAAATAAAATCTGGCACAGAGCAAGCATCCCAGTGGAATTAATCCAAGATGTCATTCTTATTCGTGAATGCTTTCTGGTCCCAGCTAAAGTTTAGTAGTAAAACTGAATGAATCAAGATGCAAACAGGACCTTTTACTATACCTGAATGAAATGCAAAAATGTTTAATTAAATCATCTAATTAAGTTAAATCATTCAGAGATAAAATATTATTTACAAACACCAGCAAAAATATTACTTAATGCATAAAGGATACTAAAAACTTTTAAAGATTATAGAAATAATCAGATAGAACTGCAGTGAGAAGAAAGCAGAAAAAAGAAAATGCTATTATTTACAACAGGGGAGCAGCTTGGTTTATGGGATGTCCATTCTCATGCTTATAGGTTATGTAACAATTCATGAACATCCCTGGGGCAGAACAATTGTCTTCAAGCATCACCCTTTTCTCCGTATTTTCCTTTTAAAGGAGTATAGCCTATAGAGGGTATCTATTTCTCCCATACTCACAGGACTGTTCAGTCAGTATTTTTTGAGTACTAATATAAATTGGCAGGCACTTTAGAGAATAAAAAGAAAGAAGACATAGTCCCTGTCCTCAAGGGGCATACAATCTAGCCAAAAAATATAAAAGTACCTAAATCACCATAATGCAGTACAGACTGAGTGCTTTAGGGAATGTAAAAAGCACCATGGGGACTCAAAAAAACGAAGAGAATATACCAGACTGAGGGGATTCAGGAAAGGCTTTATTGTGACAGTGGTACTGCACCTATGCATCAGAAGGTAGCTTTGTTGGCAGAATGAAGGACAGAGAAGAGGACTTTACAAGTAGAGTAAAAAGTGTAACAAAGGTACAGAGACAGAAAGACACACAAAGGGGTTTTAAAAGACACAGACTTAGATTTCCAGTCAAGATGGTGGAATAGTAGGACCACGAGCTCGCCTTTTTTCACAACTACAAAAAAACCCACAACTGACTGCTAAATAACCACTGGGGAAAAGAAGGCTAGAACCTAGCAGAAAAGATCTTCTTCAACTGGAAACATAAAGAGGGAACCTCAGCAGGATGGTAGGAGGGGCATGCTCATGATATAATCGGGTCCCATACCCCCTGGGGGTGCAACCCACAAGCTGAGGAATAATTAAGCCACAGAGGCCCTCACGTAGGAGTGAGAGTTTCGAGTCCCACATCAGGCTCCCCAGCCCAGGGTTCCACCATTGGAAGGAGGAGACCTCAGAACATCGGGTTTGGAGGCCAGGGGGTGCTTAACCCCAGGAGCCCCAGGGGAAATACAGACTTCACTCTCTTGGGAAGCTCGCACAGAATCTCGCGTGCACCAGGGCCAAGGACAGAGGCGGTGACTTTATAGGACCTGGGCCAGATCTACCTCCTGGTTTTGGAAGGTTTCCTGGGGAGGCAGGGTCAGCTGTGGCTCACCCTGGGAACATAAGAGCTGGTGGTGGACATCTACAGGAGCTGGGAGTGTTCATCTACATGAGCTTTCCTGGAGGCTGGCATCTAGCTTGGGTCATTAGCACTAAGACCTAGCACCACACAACAGCCTACAGGCTTAAGTGCTGGGAAGCCTCAGGTCAAACAAGATACTGGGTGGGAACACACAGCCCAACATGTCAACAGACTTCCTGAGCCACAGACTCCTCTAGACACGCCCTTAGATAACCACCTTACCTACCAGAAGACCAGGACCAAGCTCCATGCAACAGTGGGCAGGCACCGATTCCTCTTGCCAGGAAACCTGGATAAGCCTCTAGTCCAGCCTCATCTACCAGGGGGCAGATACCAGAAGTAAGAAAACAACAATCCCAAAGCCTGTGGAAGGAATCCACAAACGCAGGCCAGACTCTACTCTGGAATCAGCTGGATCCTGGACCTTGGGTGAAAAGAGACCTTGGGTGACAAGAGAGGAGTGTACTGCTAGGATGTATAGGACATCTCCCTCAGAGGGCTACTTCTCCAAGGTCGAGAAATGTAACTAATCTACGTAAAAATACACATAGAAAGATAGACAGTATGAGTCAGCAGAGAAATATCTTCCTGACCAAGACACAGGATAAAGTTCCAGAAGAAGAAATAAATGATGAGGAGATAGGCAATCTATCTGAGTTTAGGGTAATGATAGTGAAGATGTTCAGAGAACTCAGGAGGAGTATAGATACACAGAGCAAAGTTTTTAGCAAAAAGTTAGAAAAATATAAAGAATACCCAAATGGAATTGAAGAATACAATTACGAAATGAATAATACACTAGAAGGAACCAAGAATATATCAAATGAGGCAGAAGAATGGATTACTGAGCTAGAAGACACATTAGTGGAAATCACTACTGCCAGAACAGAAAGGAGAAAAAAGAATAAAGAGAAATGAGGATAGTTTAAGAAAACTCTGAGACAATATGAAGCACACTGATATTTGCATCATAGAGGTCCCAGAAAGAGAAGAGAGAGAGAAAGGGCTTGAGAAAATATTTGCAGAGATAATAGCCAAAAATTTCCCTAACCTGGGAATGAAAACAGTCACCCAAGTCCAGGAAGTGCAGAGAATTCTACACAGGATCAACCCAAAGAGGAACACACCAAGGCACACAGTCATCAAATTCACAAAAATTAAGGATAAGGAGAAAATATTAAAATCAGCAAGAGAAAAGCAACAAATAGCATACAAGGGAACTCCTATAAGGTTATCAGCTGATTTTTCAGCAGAAATTCTACAGGCCTAAGAGGAGTGTCACGGTATATTTTAAATGATGAAAGGGGAAAACTTACAACCAAGGATACGCTATCCAGCAAGGCTTTCATTCAGATTTGATGGAGAAATCAAATCTTCACAGATAAACAAAAGCTAAAACAATTCAGCACCACCAAACCAGCTTTACAACAAATGTTAAAGGAAATTCTCCAGTCATCAAACCACAAGAAGAGATACGTACACCCCAATGTTCATAGCAGCACTACTGACAATAGTCAAGACATGGAAGCAACCTAAATGTCCATTAACAAATGACC